CCTTCAAAGCAGCCTGAACTTCTTCTTTCATCACCATAGGCTCTTGCTCATATGTTGTTTCATGAAATTCTTCTGTGTCTTCTAATTCCTTTCGATACAGTGACTCAGTATATTCTTTCTATCTAAAACTGCTCTTCCAGACTGTGTAGTCATGCATGTGTGCATGCACACATGCGTGCAATTAGGAAAAACTATGTCAAAGTTAAGGAGATGTTCACTCTCACCCACTGCCATGGAGTCAGAATCAGCTCATAGCTGACCCGGCAGTGGATTGGCAGAGCTGTAAATCACACTGGAGGCAGTTGTCCATCTTTCTCTCACACAACCAGCTAACTTTTGGGTTAGCCTATCCACTAGGTCACCAATTAAAAGGTGAAATATGGAGAGGGTTTCAAAAAGGGAGCTGTCACTAGTATTAAATGCTACTGTGATAAGCAAGAGACGTCTAGGAAGGTTTTCATTGAATTTAGCAGTCAGGAGTAGCCTGGTGAGTGCTGGTTCAATGCAATTTTATGGGGAGGAACCATAAAGTTTGGAGTGGATTTATGGGAGGTGAAGCTAATAAGTTGTCAAGAAGTGGAAATCCTTTTTATTATTCTTTCCTGAAGCTTGACTACGAAAAAGAGAATGATAATAGAGCAATAGCTTTGAAAAAAAAGTTTGTCCGAGTAAGTAAACTTTCTTTTTAAGATGGAGAAATGTTTATAATCCTTCGAACAGTGCTTGAGATAGTAAGTCTGCTCAACAAATATTTGTAGTTAATGAATGGTAAGGAGAAGGAAAAATTAAAAATATAAAGAAGGTTTAAGCAGTCCAGGACACAGATAGTATAATTAGTCTTGTAAATAAGAAAGGTCATCCCTTCCTTTACAACGGGGACAAAAGATTAGGATAGAGGAGACTGAAATTGAGGGAATAAATTCATGGTTGACAGGCTCTGAAAATACCATGTCTGTTCCCACAAGCACCCGATCCAGTTCCTTCTTTCCACTGATCAACCGTGGCAAAGCCCACCTTCTGAGTACATGGCCTTTTTGCTCTGCCTTCTCTCTTTCCTGCTGATTTTTTTTTCTTTTAATCATATAGGTCTCAGATTGACCAGGAAGTTTATGAGAAGATCTCCCAAAAGAAAAGTATTAGCTTCTTGCCAAAGACTTCTCTCCTGGGTGGCCGTGTGATGAACATTTTACGGACAGAGAAATACCTGAAGAAGATCCAGTTCCTCTACCTAAATGTGGCTCCCAGCCGGTACTTTAGGTAACAGCTAATGTTCGGGCTTTTTCATCTACTCTTTTTGGTCTCTGATTTTGTCCCATTTTATCATCTTCTCCCTCTTTGTCTCCACACCTACTCCTCTCCCTTTACTATCTCACCACACTCTTCTGTCTTCCAATCTTCCTCATTCCATTCTTCCTTTCAGACTCCTTTGTTCTTTTTGCTCCTCAGTTTCTCTGTCAGCTTCTTAGTCGTCCTGTCAATTTTCATCTACCTCTTTATTCTGTACCGGGGAGCACTGGTGGCTTAGTGGTAAGGGATTCGGCTGCCAACCCAAAGGTATGAGGCTCAAGTCCACCAGCTGCTCTGTGACAGAAAGATGGGTGATCTCCTCCTGTGCGATCCACAATGAACACCCTTGGTACCAGCAGCCAGGAGACAAGTAAATATATTGCATTGAGCAAGTCTGCTTCCAAGGACCTCTCCAAAATATTACAGGAACAATGATGTCAATTTGAAGACTAAGATGTACCTGATCCAGACCATAGTATTTTCAGTCATTTGTTATGCAAATGAGAGCTGGACAGTGAATAAGGATGACAGAAGAATTGTTGCCTTTGAGTTGTGTGGGATAAGAGTACTGACTATACCATGAACTGCCAGAAGAGCAAACATGTAAGTCTTGGAAAAAGTGCAGCCAGCGTGTTTCTTAGGGGCAAAGATGGCAAAGCTTTGTCTCTCAGACTTTGGGCATGTTGCTAGGAGAAGCTTTTCCTTGGAGAGAGACATCATGCTTAGAAAGGTGGAAGACAGAAAAAGAGAAGATCCTCAACAAGATGTATTGACACAGTGATGGCTGCTGTGGGCTCAGGTGTGTCAAAGATGAGGAGGGTGGCACTGGATGGGACATGGTTCATATTTATTGTACATTTACATTTTCACTAGCAGTACATGAGAATTCCAATCTCTTCACATTCTTGCCAGCATTTGTTATTTACTGTTTTATTTAACCTTGCTCATGTTTCCGGGATGAAATGACATTTCATTGCTGTTTTTATTTAGGTCTCTCTGATACTTAATGATCTTGTTAGTCATCTTAATGTCTTCTTTAGTGAGGCATCCTTTCATGCCCTCAGGGAAGAAATTTTTGTTTTGTTTAGTGATGTATCCTAAGGCTTTAGAATAAAGAGTGGAAATTCTTACTACAATGAATGAATATTTTAAAAAATAAAGTGAACTGGGGGAGGGAGGGATGAAGGGAAGGGAGTAAAAACATGCAACAGTAAATGAATTAAAATCTAACTTTTCTGTAAACTTTCATTAAAATCACAATTAAAAGGGGGAAAAAATCTTAAAAAAGAAAAACAACCAAAGGAAAATTGTAAACTTTCACCCAAACAAAAAAAATTTAAAATAATGAAAAGAAGTGGAAATTCTCTTTGTTTAATGAATTGCAAGGAGGAAAAACAGAATTGGAGGTCAATATAGAACTTACTGTGTTTTAGGTGTTTGCAAGACAGAATTTGAGATGTTTTGGACACAGTTAAAAACTTACGTCTAAGACTCTGGAGCGAGATCCTGCTTTACTCTGTCTACTCTCTGTTATTATGTACCATTTAGTCAGTTCTGACTCAGGCAACCCTATGTTGCTATGGTAAAAGACAAAACAAAACAAATCCAAACCTCAAAGTGTTTGCGATAAAGTCTCACTGTCCTTGCATCTAAGGAGCACTCTTGATGCACTTATTCCAAAACAGCTTCCCCCTCCCCTTTTTTTTAAATATCGGTTTGCTCACAAAGTTTGTACACTTTGTGTTTCACACAATCCTTCATTCACATTGGATTTCTTACAATCATTCTTTTAAATTTTTTTTAATTGTGATCTTAACAGAAGTTTACAGAAAAGTTAGATTTTCATTCGTTCATTGTTGCACATTTTTTCCCCTCCTCTACCTTCCCCCTCCCCCAGTTCGCTTTATTTTTAAAAAATATTCATACATTATTGCACAATTTCCTCCCTCCTCCACTGTCCTTTCCCCATCCCCCAGTCCTCTTTGCAATATTTCTTATTCTAGACTGTTGTCTTACATATAATGCCTTAATTACATATTCCTTTAAACAGTTCTCTCCCTTATCTGTTCCTCCAGTACAGTGTTCATTATCCATCCACTCTTTTCCTATTCTCCTCCTAACCCCCCATATTAGTTCTGCTTCATAACAGTGGGGTTATGCAATATTTGTCCTTTTGAGACTGAGACATTTCACTCAGCATAATGTCCTCCAAGGTCACTCATGTTGTGTACCCATTCATTATGCTTTATAAAATTAATTATCCTTGAACTATGCCAGTCATTACCCTGTCTTTCCAGATCCCCCCTGGATCTTTTCCTCCTTCCCATTTCCTTTTCCCACCCCACCCTTCACTCACCAAACTGTACAACCCTATGATTTGTCCCCTGCCCATCCTCACCCCTCTGCTCCTGCCCTCCCTTGCTTGGATCCTCATACATGGTTTACTCATTATCTTTCTATTTCTATGATAATGGGCTTATGTAGTGTTTATCCTTATGAGACTGAGTTAATTGATTCAGCATAATGCTCTCCAGTCCCTACCAAGTTATGTAGTCATTTTCAAAATCATTGTTTCTGAGATTTGTTTCTTCTTTTGGCAATGTGGTATATTAAATTCTCTACACCAGCTCCACAGCTCAAAGGCATCAATTCTTTGATCTTCCTTATTCACTGTCCAACTTTCACATGTATCTGAAGCACCTGAATATATTGTACATAGGTTGACACATACATCTTCATCTTTAAAGGGACATTCTTGCTATTTAGCATTTTTTAAAACTTAGCAAGCAAGGTGACACAACCTTGTTTGCTTGACAAATTTGCCCTCCAGCATTGCTTTAATACTGCAGTTGATTTTGAGCCATTTGAGAGCAAAGATTAATTGTGTCATACTCATCTTTAGGTCCTCATTTCCAATCACAATACTTGGATTGAAAGGGAACTTGAGGAATTGTTTAACCAAGCTCCACGAAGCTGGGGTCTACGTTTTTTTATTCACTGCTGTATCTCCAGTGCCTGATACAGTACTTGGACTAAATAAAACATTTGTGGAGTGAAAGAATAGCCGAAGGGAGGTATTAGAAGCAAGGACGGCTCCCTAACTCCTAACTCGGCCCAGAAAGAGCAGTCTCCACTAGAAAGACCCTAAGGAAAAGAGTGTTCACTGAGAAGAGCCAGGGCTCTGCTAAGACTGGGTGCTATTCTGTAGGAAGTGCTCCAGTAGTTAAGGGAGGGTGGCTTAGGTTTTCAATCCTGTATTCTCTAATTATCTCTAATTATCACTTCTCTTTATTTCTGTTTTCTCCTGCATAATTTTGAAAGAATGGTTTCTGAGAGGAGTCTCTGGGTGCTTCAAATAGTAATGTATTTAGCTTCGAACTGGTGGTTCAAGTCCACCCAGAGGCACCTTGGAGAAAAGCTTGACAATTTACCTTCAAAATATTAGCCACTGAAAATGCTACTGAGCACACATCTACTCTGACAGACAGGGGTTCACAGAACTGACTCCATGTCGACTGACTTCAGTATTTGAGAAGATTTGACATTCTATCAGAAAAAACACAAGTCCACTTTGACAGCTCTCTCTCTCTGGTTTAATAATATATTCTGGGGAAACTGTGAGAGATAAGAGTGAGGCATTTATCTGTTAATTTATCTCAGGCATTTTAAAGGGTTTATAAATATCTTTGCTGTCTAAAAATATCATTAGCTCCAAGTTATGAAAAGTAAATCACAAAATTAAAATTAATAAGTATTTTCTTAAATATGATCAACATAATATTATGTTAACTAGTCTACTGCAATTAGATGTCTCTGCCATATAGTGGTCTGTAAGTTATAGTTAATGTGAGATATACATACACATATATATGTGTGTGTGTGTGTGCATGCGTGTGTATGTATATACACACACATACATTTTACCAAAAGAACTCAAGGCCTATTAGAATTTTAAGCTATCTCTAGGGGTACTTAACTGGCTCATCAGTTTGCATTTTTCCTCCTCTTCTCCTACTCTCTTTCTTTCCCAATTTTAATTTTTCCCCAATTTTAATTACTCTAGGTAGCAATTCCTTGATTATATCTGCATGCTCTTTTAGTACATAGGAATACACAGAGGTGCTGTTATTGAAATAATTTTTGGAATGAATATTTTGTTTGTTTGTTTCAATAGCTTTGGCATTGTAATGCGTCCTACATATTGATGGAGTTTCATACTGGTAACGTTGGGGGTTTTTTTCTCCAGTGTTTCCTATAATAGTCATGTACCCTAAGGAGCCACATGATACAGAAAGGGCACACTTAAAATCCACCAGATGCTGTGCTGGAGAAGGAGGGCAATCTCCTCCTGTGCCAGTCAGATCTGATTTTATTGTATACAACAAGAAAAAAATGGTCATATGCCTTGTAATTCATAGCATCTTATATTGATGGGATACAATATATGTGGATCTGGAGATATATGCTTCTTGGAACAAGGGAGGTGCTTTTATTTTTTAAAATTCCCTTCTATCTTTGGCTTCAATGTCTTCTCATTATTTGTTTAGTTTGTGTTTTTTTTTTTAATTTGAAGATAATTTTGCTGCTTTCTCCTGTTTCTTCCTTTTGATTCTCTTATTTTCTGCTTCATTTTTCATTTCTGCATTCTCTTGTCCCTTTCTAGAGTCTGCCCAGGCTCCCTGACCCAAGCTCTTTATTCACAGACCTTACAACCTGGTGGTTGTGCCACCAAACAAGGTGAATCCAGAGCACTACATCTTCTCTCCTTTCGGGATTCTGCATATCCATCCTGAGGATGGCAGTGACGCTATGACCCTGGGTACCTGGCACCGTCACTGTACTCTCTGGCAACAGCTTCAGTTTATTCCATTTTTTAAGAACTTCCTCATAGGCAAGGCACTGACCTGGTAGGTGATGATGGGGATGGACTTTGGGAGGATATGAGTGACAGCAATAGCATGTCAACACTGACCTCTACCATGTAGGTGGAAGAAGAGTGTCAAGTCCTTAGGGTTGCATCAGCGCCAGATTCTCTTAGAGAGTCAGTTACTCTTTGCTGTGCCCCACTTTGGAGCAGCTCTGCTGCATATTAACAGGTGGGTTCTTAAAAAGAAACTTTTATTATAAAAAAGCATAATGTTCATTGTGGAAAATGTGGAGAAGACAAACAAAACAATACAAAGAGGACAGCCCTTTCATCTTACCACCCGTAAATAGCCAACTACTAGAGGAGGATCCCCACGAGTTGGATTGGTGACTGCAGCAACAGACTCACGTGTATCAGAGATGGAGAGGGTGCACAGCATCGGGCAGGATTCAGGTCTGTTGTTCACAGGGCCGCTATGAGTTGACAGCACCTAACAACAACAAGGAGCACCTAACCACAATAAGAGGGAATATTTTGCTGCTTTGCTCTAGTCTTTTATTTCCTATCACAAATAAAACTAGATCATAATTTACACATTGTTTATTAGCCCAGCTTTTTTGTTTCAGAATAATATATTCTGAACATTTCTTCACACTATTACATATTCTCCATCATCTTGCTCCAGATTATTCAGTTATTAAATATCCAATCTGGGGACCTAGCTCAGGTGTTTGACTCCAAAATACTCATTCTACTAAATTGCTTAGATTTTTTTTGGGGGGGGGAAGGAAGGTGTGAAAGAGATTAATTACCCCAATTTTCAGTACTTCTTAGCTTTCCTTAAGCCGCCCCTCGGCTAGTTCCGGTGATCTCTGAGAGGAGCTGCAAATGCAAATGTCTACAGGGTCCAAATTGTAGCTGTTGGAGAATGCACTGAGTTCAGTGTAAGACTTTAGGGAGGTGAGGGCTGTAATCTGGAGAATACACAGGAAAAAGATCATAGCTATTGCTGCCTGGGAACATAGGATCCCAGTGTATGATCAGCCACCTTATTTTTCAGGATTTCCTGGAAATCTACTTCTTCTTTTTTCTTTGAAACTTCATCTTAACTGTTGTTGTTGTTGTGTTGAGTACCGACCTATAGCTGACCTTTGAGCCAGTTTTTCAGAGGCATGGAAGGAGATTTTCTATCCTTCTCCCACAGAGCAGTTGATGGATTTGAACCACATGCCTTTGGGATTACAGTGCAGTTTCTTACCACTAGGCCACCAGAGCACCAACCATTTTAACTGGTTGACTTAAACTTTTATTAATATACTGTGTGTATTGCTTCTCGGCCTTTTGGCTAAGATCAAGTGTAGTATTAATATACTGTGTCAGCCAACACTTTGGGGTGCATATGGAACACTTTCTGGTCTGAATTTGGCCCATGGGGGTACCATTTACAGTCTCTGCTCTATGCATTTGCCATCCTCTGGTCGAGCAGAGTTATGAATGAGTGAGTGTGGTCTAATTACCATGGCACAATGAAAAATATAAGGATGTGGAGGCTGGATAGAACTAAATTTGCATTCTGAATGCTACCAGGAGACTTTACTCTTTAAGCCCAGTTATCTGACCCATACGCTAAAGATTTCTACACAAATACAGTGAGAATTGCATTAATTTGTGAATAGAAAGTGACATATTGAGTGCTTCTTAATAGACCTTGTGTAAATGGTATATATTATGATTGTTGTCTCTGTTCTATAGGGCTTTTCGTCCTTTTTAAGGGTGTTCAGCTATGTAGAGTTCTCCAGAGGAAAACTGGCAAAGCAGTAGGCTTTTAGGTAACGGTGAGCCTATAGGCAAGTTGCAAGATCAGCATCTTTGATCCCCAAACTCACCTGTTCATCTATATTTTTAGGGCCTTTACCATCCTTTATTCCAAGGCAAAGGGGCCTCTGGTGGCCTAATGGTAAGGAGCTGCATTAAAATCTGAAGGTACATGGTTCAAATCCACCAGCTGCTCCTCTAGAGAAAGATGGACAGTCTCCTTCCATGTGATTTACTGCCTTTGAAAACTCACTGGTGGGTCAGTTATGTGGCATTTCTGACTCAATGCTACATAACAACATATTCTAAGAGGTTCTAGTAGTCTAGTGGGTAAGGAGTTGTGCTGCAGCAGCCCAGAGAGGCAGTTTGAATCTACCAGCTATTCTGTTGGAGAAAAATTAGGAATTTCTTTCCTGTGATTTATGGCCTCAGAAAACTATCTGGAGGGTCAGCTGTGAAATTGTTCTGACTCCTTCACACAAAACAACAACAATGACAACATTCTAAGGATTCTTTGCAATCTCTTCTTCCAATTCAGCAATTTGGGACCTAGTAATCATTTTACCTGGCAGGAGGAGAGTCACTGGATATAATCATTTGCGTATCCCCTGAGCTTTTCCCAAAGAATTTCCTAACCGGTAACTTCCTGAGTTTGACTGGGTAGCCTAACGGCAAGAAGCTACACTGCAATTTCCAAGGCAAACAGTTCGAGTTGACCAGCTGCTTCATGGGAGAAGGATAGGCAGTCTCCTCCCATGCAATTATCTGCCTCTGAACACCCAATGAAGGGTCAGCTATGAGTTGGCTCAGACTTAATAGTACACAACAACAAATAAGTCATAAGAGGGAATCTGTCTTGGTGAGTTGCTGGAATATTACTGTCTTTATTAAGTGTCCAAGGAAGGAGGACTGGGTTGCTGGCTCTGACTAGCTTGACTCTTGATTTCAGACTTCTGCAGGAGCTGCGCTTGGTGACCTGGCTTCCCCAGGAGCCAGACGAGAGCTACGAACTGCTGGAGCTGCAGCAGGCTCTGGCCAAGGAAAACCACAAGGCTCTACGTCTGTTCCACCGCTGCCTGCACCTCTGCACAGCCATTCTTCAGTTGGTAAGAGACCCAGTTCACTGTGAACCTTCTCTCCATGCTGAGCTCCCCAGAATCCCAGCCCCCTCGTAGCCTAAACTCTTGGGATGCCCCATGTGTACCAGACTCTGCAGGTGATTCAGAGCCATTGCTATGCACTGCAGCAGCATCTCTGCTATGGGATGGATGTTGTGTCAATAAGAAGGCGAGAAGATTCTTAGACTCAACTTTTACTAAGGTTCAGTCTTGACTGAGGGCTCAAGAGAAGAAAGAACACAATGATGCCTATTTTTAAAGCTCCCTGTGCTAGGATTGTGAAGGAATTTGCAGGAGATCTTGATCTTTCACACCACTGGCTTTCTGCTTGAACCTATCTTGAACCTTTAACAGGCATAAAATGTAGACTGTGATTTCTAATGTGTCATCACTAGAAGTCCAGCAGGTTGTGTCTTGGTTTTGAATGGACCTCAGGAGCTAGAACTAGCCTGTAATGCTGAGGTTTCCAATGCTTTCTATTTTTTTTCTATAATTATATTTTATTAATTTTCATAAACATTTACAGAAATTTTGGGCTTCCACTCATTCATTGTTGCACT